ACAACATCGAATGTTACGCGCTGTTCAGCAACAACTTAACACTGCAAAGAAATGATCCGCGAGATTATTGAAGAAGGTGGAGTATACAAATTTTACATTACCTGTTTACCGCAGGAATCCACTGATCTCTCTCAAACTTGAACACAGTCCAAGCTTTTTATTGCAATCCAGTTGCGAAACCATGTTAAACATGAAGGTAAAGCTCAAAAGGGAGTTGCAACGAAAACACTTCTAAGCAAGCAACAAGACTAATCCTTTTTTAGCGCAGGTAACTACATTGCTTGAAGCGGAAGTAAAGAGATCTTCAACTTAACACTATTCAGGCTAGCCCACACCTTTCGATCTCAGCCTTTGTTCGGTGCTTAACGAAAACTGGCTTTCCACGCCATTCGTAGGTCTTCGTTACACCTTCTGGGATCTCATCCAGATTCACCTCAATCGAGGCTAAGGCACGCTGATCGGCAGCCATGGCCTGAAAAGTGATTATGATGTGATGTAGCTTTCAAAAGAGCTCAACACATGAAGGGAACAAAAAAAGACACCTTGAACAAGATGGAAACTTGCGCGATTTCTTTGGCAGCCCAGAGAGACATCACACCACCAGCTAAAAGAGAGGTGATTGAGTGTATGGCTTTTTTATTCGTGAAAGTACCGCACTGTTGTGTTCGGTGACTTCTTTCGCACAAGCAAGGCTGTTGGGTGGAACTTTTATTAATGTCCTGGGCCTACTCCCCCCCCTCTACTTTTAAATAGTTCCATCTAAGGCATCGTTCAGGCTTCGCGATGACGCGCATCGTCGACGTGCTGTAACGCGTGATGAAGCGCTGTAACGCACATCATCGCGAAGAGTCTGAGCAATGTCTAATACGTGCTCCGATATTCTTGTTTGTTACGAGGTTGTTAGGTGGAACATTTATTAAAATGGCCTAACGTTTCGACTTAATCGTCGTCTTCAGAGGCCTGAATGTGTTTCAAGCATTAGATATGCAACCTACCCCACCAAGCACCTCGTCAACTCTAGCGGTTCCGACGTCGTGTCAGGAACCCCTCGAGAAGACGCCAATATCGCAAGACAGAGACTCACCAGTGGTTCCACCGTTTGAGCGGATAGGTCCGCTGCCACACTAGAGCGCTGTTAGTAGAAAAATGAAGAATACTACGTTGTCTCCGTATGACATATTGAGGAGACGCACGTCACGCTCTGTCATTCTACAGTCCGCAGTGGGGTATAAACGGTAGCAGGTCATTTGTGATGGCAGGACACTCATCTCGGTTGTTCATTCTGGGTTTCTAGTGAATATCCAGAATGCTTCCAACGCTTTTCTAGCTGAAAGTTCCGTCTCATTTGCCAGCACACTGCACTTTATTTCGAATTCGTCCCTTATGTTCCACAACCTTATGCCTCCCGAGAGCAGCTTGTAAGAGTACCGCGTCTCATGCTAGCAAGATGTTCCTTGATACGAGTAGTTAAGATCCGTCCTGTCTCCCCGTGTGAAGGGTGAAGTTACATGCCTGACACTGTTTTTCAACTATTACACCCAATGGCACACAGTGCTCTTCTAGGCTCCGTTTGAGTTTTCCCGTGTGGGGAAAAACAAATTTTCTAATATGAACTGCTAGTCGGTGTGTTACGGACCAGCGCTGGTTGATGTTTTCATTTGGTATATTTACCAACTGGACATCGTCCTGCAGCTGTGCTCTTGCTATGCTCCGTTTGATTGCAGCGCTTACCACATCAGAAATGAAGGGGATACATAAAGGTATCTTGTTTCGACGCGGTACGCCTTGTGGACCAATATGCCGCCTTCCCTGTGGGTCTGGTGTCGAATAACCATTCATAACGGCTATTTTTGTGGTAAGCTCTCGTGATTCTGTCGTTCTCCATTCCCTAAGCACATACCCGTTGCCGTTCGTACTGTTACGGACGAGCGCGTTTCACAGCAATCGGGTGTGCTGATATAGCGTGAATCAAGATATTTTTCGAGCTACTTCACGGTGCCCATTTCACTCGAGATCTCAATCGGAGATATTTTGTAACCACTTTATTTTTGATGATGAGCCTGCTTACAATCAATAGAGATAGCAAGAGCACAGTTGCGGGACTAGCCCAGTGGTAAATATTCCAAAGAAAACATCAAACAGCAGCTGGTAAGTAGCAGACTCTACGACTAGCAGTGCATATCAGAAAATTGTGTTATGTCTACACGGGAAAACTGGTGACTGTGCGCCATTGGGTGTAATGTATGAAATGCAGTGTCAGGCATGTAACTCCAGATATAAAGAGACAAGAAGGGTCTTGGCTAATTCTATCAAGATGACATCTTGATGGCATGCCCAGCTGTCGAAGCGTAGCGGTTTCCCCGTTCTAACATGCACTTCGTACTTTGCCAGTCCTGTAAATTTGCCCTTTTGGAACAAATAAACGACAAGTTCCTGATACGATAAACATTAAATGCTGCACAAATAAGAGCCGAAGGTGATGACGAGCGCCAGAACTCAAGAGTAATTGTGCTAGCTTCTGCAACATCCCTCAGAGGCCGCATTCCCCACAAAACATGAAAATAAAAACGGCCCACTCGTTAGTTTAATACAAGCAAAACGCAATTTCCTGATGCGAATAACATTTGAGGTGTTGCTCATGCTTCAAAGTCCGATTACAAGGTGATGTGCGCAAAGTCTAGAAATCAAGAACAACAAATGGAGATGTGAATAAAACAAAAATGAAAAACTTAAGGGAAACGGAAATCACATTTAAATCGCGTGTAACTTCTGCGGATCCGGTACGAATCCGGCCCCAAAGCTATAGAAATACTTTAAACTAACAAGTGGGACGAGTAGGCCGTTTTTATTTTCATGTTCTTGTGGGAATGCGCGGCCTCTGAGGGATGTTGCAGAAGCAGCACAATTGCTCTTGAGTTCTGGCCCTCGTCATCATCTTCGGCTCTTATTTTGCAGCACCTCAAATGTTATCCGCATCAGGAAATTGCGTTTTACTTGTATTCCAAAGCGCAATTACAGGACTTGGCAAAGTGCCAAGAGAGCCGCACGCGGCACACACGCTTACGACGGATGTTGGCATGAACGGGAGTCTGCGCCGCAAAATGTATAAAGCGGAGCATGAAAGAATTAGCGTGTTTCACGGTCCTGTATCTCCATTCCTGTGCATGTTAGGACGGGGAAACCGCTACTCTCCGAGCTTGGGCTGATAATGCTACACACACCCAACTATAATATAAATATATATATATATATATATATATATATATATATATATATATATATATATATATATATATATATATATATATATATATATATATATATATATATATGATCGTAACAACATGTGCCTTTAAATGTTGTACCCACTGGTGAGTCCCTGTCTTGCGATACTGGCGTGTTCTCCAGGGCGTTCCTGACACGACCATCGTAACGTACAGTTGACAGTGTCTTGGTGGTATTAGTTGTAAATTCTACTACTTGGAAACACATTCGGGCCCCTAAAGACGACGATTAAGTCGGAAAATTAGGCCATTTTTGATAAATCTTCCACCTAACAACCTCGCAAGGCATTAGAATATCGAAACACTTACTACTAACATGCCGAATTGCAAGAAGGAGAAGCTCGAGAATACATGTTAATAACGTGCACAGAAGAGGTCATCAGAGAGACGACAGATATATTCTCCACTGCAAACTATTAGAAACTAGAAAAACTCAGCGTACCTCCATAGTAAACGGCATGAGCGAGAGAGCGTCGTTGATCTTCGGTATCACGCGCAGCTTTCTGTGTATCCAAAGTTACCTCTCTACGGTAGTTTGAAAAGTCCGGGAAACGAGACGTCGGTATGCGCCAAACGCCGAGATGACACTTAAACTAACTTTTAAACAAGGCGACAAGGCGGTGAGTAGTTCAAAACAGTGTCATTGTTCTATAAGTGCCAAGTCAGAACTGTGAACCAATGAACTACATTTTTGACACAATCAAACATCGAGACTCGAAAAACCTGAGTATTATTCCCACTGAACTTTGCCTATAGAGGTTATTCGGCATTCTGATCAACAACAGAACGTTGGTTTTCTTTGCGCTGCGACCTTCGGCGCCACCACCTTTCTGATAAATCGATAAAAACTTACATAATAGAGATGTTTGATGTCCTGGCTACGGATAAGACATCCATTGTCGCTGGCGCCATTTGGCGCCCTACGCAGAGGTGTGATTTCTTCCCTTCAGATTTAGCCTTAGCTCTAGGTCTCGGTATTGTGTCCTACCAGTGCCCTATAATACAGCTACTCGGGATCTGACCATTTAGCCGACGGACAATGGCGCTTTTCTGCATCGGTAGTTGTGAGTACCATCCATTTGTCAACTGATGGACAAAAAACAGGCAAACATTACACCCGATCAACGACGATTTTCTGGAACACAGCACAGAAATCTTCGCTATGATGTTCATCCACTTGGGCACACCTAACCCTTCGTTGGAAAATTTGTGCGACTTCTCATCTGCATTGATACAAAATTGACGCTTGTGAGTTTTGGCTCAGAGTTCAAACCACCCATACTTCATCTAAGACCAGAGGGTGCATTTTCATAGTCGCAAATGACATCTCATGCGGAGACATTACTGCCACAGGCGTAGAATCGATACTGCTTTCGCGCTTCAATAAGAAAATTAGGCACCCATACCCATGCCTCTTGACCATCCTCAATTTGTCGGACACATAATTCGGGCAGCAGTTGCAGCAGGGATGTCAGTCTCGCGCTAGGTACTGAATAACCTCCATGAGCTAAGCTTCAGTGGAAATTTTTTTAGCTTCTAGGAGTCGTGATAGTGGAATAGTGCCAATTACTCCGTTCTACAATTTCATTTTTGAATCCATACACTATGCCTGTGGTACTTGCGAAAAGGACCTGAATACAAGTTACAATTAAGGAAAACATTTCGTAGAATATACAGGGGGGGGGGCAAGAAAAGTCACTTCGACCGAGTCACATATTAGCAAAAGTTTACGACTGACCCAGACACGAGACGTGGATCGGATACAGTACCAAGATTACCCAAGCCATTTCCTCTTAAGCAGGACTGGCATCGCCCATCACCTTCAATGTACACCAAAATATCGAAACCATCTCCAGCTAGCAGCCTTGCGGGAGTGTATTGATAGTATGGAATATGCTCTTTAACAGTGGTGTAAAATAGTCCAAATCAGAATTTAATAAAGTGTACTTATACGCGCCTATGTAGGTCAACGAAGAAAAGTGACTTTTTGTGCTCCCCCCCCCCGTATGCATACCTTCACGTACTATTTTTTTCTGAGGATGAGGCAGAGAGATACCATTTTATTTCATATTTAATGAGCTGATTTAAGACTGGGCGAGAGACGTACCATTTATTCCCTTGAAAGCAAAATTAGATGAAAGTAGTCCTCCATGATTAGTACCGCGACTAGCAGCTGCTTGGAGAGAATCGGGAGTTAAAAAAATAAGGAAAATCACCCGTAACGACATCCTTGATTGGTGTAACCTGAACAATTCAGAAGACCATAATTTTAGCACAACAGATTATTACACAGCAACACCGTGAATCCAACCCTCTTGTCGCAATGTGAATGTTTCACGACAGAGGATGCTCCAACGATTAGGGTCTAGTTCTTCTTGAAAGCGCTTAAACGCAGAGGATCTCCCAGAGTGGCCAATTATGATCAAAGTTAACTAGGAGAAGAGCCACCGAGGACATTTGGGAACTGAAACTCCCCTGGAAATTTATCTGAGTTTTTATTTTTCTTCGAGTAAACATTCGCGAGCTACCTCTGAATGGTACAACATCCGATCGCTCGATGATGACGCTATGGGGCATGATAATGGAGCCAATCTAGACTGGCTTTAATCTCGTTATCACTATACAAATCCACTACGTACTAGCTGTGGACACGTACGATTCGAACAACGTTTGTCCTGCATGCGCGTTTCTTACCAAACCGGATTACAATTCTCCTAACATCTGCAATAGAACTTTCAAACTTTATAGGAACAGCTGTGGGGAACTGAAGGATAAGGTGCAGGAAAGCGAAGCGGATCTGGATAAGGGCTTTGAAGTGAGACTGTAGCAAATTCATAACGTCGTCCACAATGCAATCACGTTGCTCCAAGAAATTGATACAGGGTAACATGAAACGAGGCGCAGAAGTGATTACAGTTAGAGCATGGTGCAGGATTACTGATAAGAGGGCAGCTGGAAGGATTGCTTGAAGTTCGCTCCCACATGGTTCCACTTGGGAGCTGCCCGCTATTGTGCGGGCTAGCCGAACGATCCGAAGCAGGGGGGTGACAGGCCTTCGTGACGGGCTGGCCTACGAGCACCCAAGTCACATCACCAATGCACAATATGCCACGCGATATCCGAATCAATGCTACGGTGTCCGCTGGAGCCAACGCGCACTCGTATGGCCCGGCGAGTGTGGAAAGTATGCGAGGGTCTCTGATGCAAGGACGGCATCGGGGGAACCAGACCAGTTCAAAAGTCATGAAAAGGTTCGCGGCGACGTTGAATGTTGTAACGCGCATGTGAGCTGGCAGAGGCACTGGAGCGCAAATGTATAGACAAGACCTGTGTCATGCAGGGAACAAGATGGTCCAGTTACAAGTCAAGGTACATCGGTCGAGGCTTCAAAAGCAGTTGGCACGATGGTTTCCTACTTAGCCTAAAATGCTAGTAGGGCGCTATAGTGGGGAAATGGCGAAAGAACGGAGTGAAACGGTCAAAATCCTGCGAAGAAAAGCCTCCGTTCTCAGTGACTTGTAAATCGATTTCGGACGAGTTTCCCGTAGGCATCTTGCCAATCACCGCTACCGAAGATACGGCTGCATATGTGTACCCATATATGCATGCAGCATTCATGGCCGCTTCAATAGCAATTTTTTTTCCTTTTCGCTTCATAATTTGCTTAGCAAATGAATGAATACGAGCGTCAGGAACGGTCGTCCATTTGTGGCGGGCGGGCGTGGCGGGCGTTGGGACGTGAAGTTGTGGCCTTGATAGGGCCCTTATAAGGGCACCTTCCTCGGGGAAACCGCTATGCAGCGCCTGCCCAGGGTCGCGGAATTCTATCCTGCCAGGAGTATTGATCCTAGTCGTCTTGGGGATTTATCGTGCCAACTGCCTTCAAAGACCTTCTGTGTGGCAAACCAAAAACCACCAACGGGGTGGCTGTAATAATCTCTCAACGTTTCTGTGACTCGATAGCAAGCGTAGAACGCTTCGATGACCGCCTGATGAAGATCGTTATTGCTATCGAACAGCGGCTGTACCATTTCTTTTCTGCCTATGCTCCACAGACGGGATGCTCCGAGCGATCCAAGGACGAGTTCTGGTGCCTGCTTGAGGGGAAGACAGCTGAGATAACGTCAGAAGACGTCGTAATTGCTGCTGGTAACTTAAATGGGCACGTAGGCGCTACGAAAGACGGCTACAGTGGTCATGGGTTTTGGTTATGGGTCATGTAACGCCGATGGTGAAGGAATTCTCGACTATGCAGAGGCCCATAACCTGGTCATCGTGAATACGAAGTTTCGCAAACGAGACTCCCACCTTATCAGCTTCTACAGTGGGAGTGCCAGAACGCAGATAGACTTTGTCCTTGTTAGACACCGCGACCAAGGGCTCATCACGGACGCGAAGAGATTGCCGTACGCAACATACCACGCAACATCTCCCACTAATCTGCACGCTAAAGATCGCAAAGCTCTGGTCCAAACGGCTGGCGTAAGTGCAAAGAAGCGAAGAATGTAGTGAACAAGGCTGTGGCTGCAGCGACGGCCGACTACTTCGAAGAGGTCAATAAGGAGATTCGATTCACATGATGTCAGTGCAGCGGCATCTCTACCGACTTGTCAAGGCTCGGCATCTCAGACCGAAGATATCGAGAAATTTTCTGGCGTTAACGACGAGCATGGCCGCCTTTTGATGGACCGAAAGAGGGTGCTGATAGCGATGGCCACACCTTCGAGAATCTCACCGTAGCGTATGGCGCACCCGGCCATCCCTTTCGTCCCCCCAGTATACGGTCCTGTTCAGAAAGTAACCGTAGAAGAGACGGAGGCGGCTCTCAGAAAGATGAAGTCAGGCAAAGCAACAGGACCTGACGACGTGGCAGCCGACTTGTGGAAGGCACGGTGCTGGTACCCTGCACAATGGTTGACGGATTTCTTCAATCAGGTCGTTGCTGAGAAGAAGACCCAAGGACTGGCAAGAGAGCACGACGATTCCGATTTGGAAGAAGAAGGGCAGCCCTGCGGACTGCTCGAACTACCGTCCAATTCGCCTGCTGTCACACAGTATGAAGATCTTTGAGCGTATTGTTGACAGTCGTATTCGCGAAATCGTCCAGCTTTCTATCAATCAGTGCGGCTTTGTGGCAGGCTGTAGCACCATCGACGCCATACATGCCGCGCGTCTTCTGCTGGAGAGTCTCCAGCTGGAGAGACATCGTGAGAAGCAAGTACCACTGCATCTAGCTTTTCTGGACCTAGAAAAGGCATTCGATCGTGTTCCGCGTGAAGTTATATGGTACGCCTTGCGGCAACACGGCGTTCCCGAAGAGCTTATTGAGTGGGTGCGCATCCTGTACTCCAGCTCGAAGAGCCGCGTGCATGCACCATCAGGCACTTCGCAGGACTTTCCCATCACGGTCGGAGTACATCAAGGCTCTGCGCTCTCTCCACTCCTTTTCGTGGTCGTCTTGGATGCAATCTCGCGAGATCTCCAGAAACCGAGTCCTTGGACGCTCCTCTACGCAGATGATGTGGTGCTGGCCAGTGAAGATAAGAACGAACTCGAGCAGCAGGTGCAAGCTTGGTCTGATCGCCTGACAAATTCGGACTGAAGTTGAACATCAAGAAAACCGAGTACTTGACGACCGATACAAATGAGTCCGATTCCATTAAGATCAGTGGCATCGAGCTCACAGCCTTCAAGTATCTTGGATCAGAAATTGTGTCCGATGGCAGTTGACCTCAGAGGTGAACTCTCGTGTGAGTGCAGCATGGGCGAAATGGCGCTCGATGACTGGAGTTCTGTGTGACAAGACCATACCGGAGCACCTCAAATCGAAGATTTATAGAACTGTGGTCAGACCAGTAGCGTTGTACGGGGCTGAGTGCTGGCCTGCAAGTCGAAGCCCGCCTTAGTGTGATGGAGATGAAAATGCTACGCTGGACGGCCGGTGTCACGCGTATGGATCGGATTTGCAACGATGACGCAAGAAATTCGGCGTAGCTTCCATGGCATGGTATGGCCACGTACTTCGCGCGAAGGCGGACACCGTCTGCAAAACTGGTCTCCAGCTCGAGGTGCTCGGCAAACGACCGAGAGGACGCCCCAGGCAACGTTGGCTTGATACGCTGCACGCGCACGCGAACTTAAAGGCAGCGTCCGCGATCAACCAAGGTGAAAAAACCTGCACTGTACAAGATCGCGGAGTCCGCAACCACAGCGGATATCCCACTCTTGCGGCTCGAAATCGATTGATTGACGAAGGCGGAGTCAACAATGCTAAGCTGACCCGCCTGTCCTGTTAATCCCGCCCCGACTGGTTAACAGTTGTCAATCCTTGCTGGCTTTGATAATCGCTAAATTTCTAGCGTTCGTTTCGTACACTGATAGAGAGATTAACTCATAGACAGATCGATTATCAATGCCAGCGTGGATTAATTAGATTAGATAAGATAACCTAGGTAGTGGCCTCATGAGAATTAGCCGCAACGAGGCGGCGACGTGTTTTGGAGAACTCACCCAAAATCTGCGAAACTCGTCCAGATGCCTTAAATCGAATAGGGTCTTATTCCATGTTCTTGCACCCCTTTTTTCCTACTTTTTTTGATTAATGCTTCATTTGCCACCTGTTCTAACAAATCTGACCCCTGAAACCTGCCAAAGTTCATCGCGGTCGCTGTCTTTAGAGATAGTTGGTGCTCACCCTGATCAGGCATTCGACCGGAATAAATGTAGCAAAATCAGGAGAGCGGACCCCGCTACAGAGCGGGACAAACGCTGAAGAATAAGAAGAAGAGGAGCTGGAAGGGAAGGGTTACTATAATCACTACGCGATGCCAGACTCGAATTTTCTCGACATCCCGGCGTAGGATCACATTGTGTGGGACGAATTCGACGTGGATTGTCTGCGGCGCACGGTCGACTATCTGCAAATGCAATTCACTTTTGTGTGGGAGCACCTGGAAACAATACCGAATTTTATCACAAGAATGCTGAGTTGTGGGCAAAAGTCAAGGGAACGCGTACTGCGGCGTTAAACAGCAGTTATCATAACAATACCGAATCTTGTTCCAGAAGTTGTGCCTACACATATTTCCTTCTCTTTTAACCAACAAGGCCTCGAAAAGATTTGTCATGAAATTATAGTGGGTTTGCGCGCGTCTATACCTACTGCCCTATACATGATGGGCGAACCCCTAAACCATAACTCAATGAAACAACAAAAAAAATAAAAGGGATAGATCACTGCTGTAAGAAAATGTCATGATAAGTCAAACGAAACCACGAGAAGCAGATGTAACAAGGCTATTGCTGCCACTAAGACAATGGTGGAATAAGGATTACAGAGAGGAAACCTCGCCATAATACATATTAGGTCATCCCATTCAAAGTGGCCGACACATATAGAGGAATGGCAGAAAAGCAAAGGGGATAGAGCAGCGGGCTACTATACCATTTGGAAGCTAGTACCTTAAGCTGTGTATCTGTGAAATTTGGCGAACCTAGCCTCTGAAGAAGTTCTCGAGAAATTGAAGAGAAGCCCGAGTGGTGAAAATCGGCGCCGGTTTTTCAAATCAGACGTCATAAAAGGAAAGTGCGCTGCTCAAATTTGACCTGCGCCGGACCATAGTTGTGTGTAAGGGTGTTCTCGAAATACACGGTGGAAGATCTGGTTCAGGAGCCCGTACAAGGAAGAAAGGAAAAATTTGTTGTCGTGGGTGGTCCCATAATATTCATCCTGCACAAGAAAAACGGGTGGATGAAGTCAGGCACTGAATATCTGATCACAGAGCCTGGACCCTTGTCGAGCTTCCCCGCGAGTCTGACATCCCAGCTGCAACTGCTGCCCGAGTTATGTCCGATAAACTGAGGATGGTCAAGAGGGTGGCGCATGGGTACCTAATTTTCTCACTTGTTTTTGTTCTTACATATTTTTTTCACACTTGTTGAAAAATCGAAGGTACCAGAGGTCCAAAGGCCCTCGGGGCACTGGGAGCGGGTCATTGGTGAAGGAGGGATTTACTCATCCTAAAGCTAAAATATCACTTTTCTATCTATTCTCCTCTTTGTTTTATTCAAAAAAAAACCATCGGCCACTTTGAATGGGATGACCTAATAGTAACAGCTAGATTTCGTAACAAGCGATGGGTAACTCGTGACCACGCTCATACTGTCATTACGCAAATGTGGCAGTGAAGCTAATAACGTGGCACACAGTCTCCTCGCGACGCCGAACTCAGTCAGACAAAGAACCCTGCTGTTTGTAAGGGAGTATATAAGGATTACCAGCCGGCTTCGCCGGCTGACACCGGCGCGCCTCCTTCTGAGATACAGCACGGCTTCGTCGAGCGGGCGCTTACCTTCTTCCACACATTTCATTAGCCGCCTAGTATCAGGCTTTTCTTTTACCTGAACAGGTGGTCAACATTCTTTGACCAATAGCATCATACCTGCTCCTTTCAACACTATTACGGTGTATGGAGTGGTGGTAAGGAGCGTTGATCAAGTGGACAGATGAGAGAAAAGCCGGGTATTAGTCGAGCATTTGATCATACGAATGCAGGTAGGCGCGACGCCCCGCAAAGCCGGGCCGTATCACATAGAGGTCTGGAGTGCCTGGAGTGCTCTGGAACCGCTTGAGGAATTTTTAAGGCTCCCGCTCACCTTGACGCACGCTCCACACACAGACAGGTATGCCTTACACTTGTGAACCCTTGGACCCCTTGAAAACCACTTTTTTCTGTCTCTGGAGTGCTCTGGAACCATTTTGTGAATTTTTTAAATTTGGTTCCGCCCACCTCGGGGCAAGCCCCGCCCACAACGTGTGCCGCAAACATGGTGGACACTTGACAGGAGTTCGTATTCCTCATGGACTTTTCTGCGATCTCCTAAACATTTTCGGGGACCGAGTTACCGACCTTTGTGGGAAGCGCCGCCCATCTCAAGTACGCCCCGCCCATTTCGGGTGTCTCTCCTCCATTTGG